TGGGGAAGTGCTCAGTGGCACCTCCCAGTCCAGAGCTGTGTCCCTCCTTCTCTCAGATCAGTGAGGGTGTGCAGGAACCCTCTGCTTCATCCTTAGTAGCGAGCATCACCCTGTCCAGACTCCCACTCCGTTGCACCAGCTGCCCGTGGCCATTCCTGTAGCCCGGTGCATGCTGGGCTGCAGACCCCTCATGTGGCTTCTGGCTGCACTGCCCAGCCAGTGTTCCTGCATGACCAAATAACTCTGCCTCCTTGTCTCCCAGTTCCAGGTTCAGTTTGCTGTGTGCTGTTCTCAGAGGCCTGTGTCGCCTAGCCAGAACTAATGCTCAGGCCCAGCAGGTGTCTTGTTGTCCTCGACCTCCACCCCACCTGTCAATTAAGTGGGATATTCCGATCACTGGGCATGGCACAGAGGGAGAGTGGGGGCTTCCCTGAGTGGGTAGGGGGTCCGCCGGCCCTGATGGTATCCTGAAGATATCTCGACATAAGTTGGCCCCTTGGTCAGTGATGGGAAATTTTGGGGCGACCATTGCAGACCATACCACATTCCACATGTTGGGTGCTGATTCTAGATGGGCAGATACCAATCTGTGCAGGACGAGCCTGTGGACCAGCCTTTTCCAGAAACCTGGCAGCCAGGTGTCACCCAAAGTGTTGGCGAGTGAGTGGAACCCATGTGGAGACATGTACATTGTCTGGGTAGGGGTTAGGTGGGGTTAGCAGCAAAAATATCCCTGCAGTACCAGGGCCAGGTGGGGCCACCGAGGTACCTACAGCTCTTCGTGGAAGGCCCCATGAGTCTGGGCTTTCTGCTCCTTTTCTCTGTCTTTCTCAGAAGTGACCTTTTCCTTGTCTGTGTCTGAACTGCAGGGACAGTTTGGGAGTCTGCCAGAAGATGTCACAGAGAAGACAGCCACCAGCTCTCCTTCAGTGGGACTTGGTGGCTTTTGTTTGTCTTGGGCCACCCCCAGTCGTGCTCAAGGCTTATTCCTGGCTCTGCTCAGGGATCACTCCTGGTCGGGGCCTCAGGGACCACCTGCTGTTTCAAGGACTGAAGTGGGGTTGTCCAGTGCTTTAATGCTGGGCGGTCTCTCTGGCCCCTCTTCTGGCTTTTATTTACTCCTCTGGACTTGACTTCTTCGCTGAAAATAATCATGATGTTGACAGTATTCACGGAGTGAATTCTTTGATGCAGTTCATTATTGAACTCACCAAGTATGCCATAGTTGCAGAAGCCCATTCTTACCAGACTAGAGTTGATTCTTGGTGTAGGAGCTCAGTGTTTGATCTCTAGTTTGCTTTCCATTGTAGATGATGAAGGATGTTTCTTCCTCCTTCCACAGGGCCTTGGGTTGAGATGCTGACCTCTCTATGTGCTGGCAGCCACATGGCCTCACATAGACTGGGGGTGGGTGAAGAAGGCACTGTGGTCCCCCTGTGGGGGTCCAAGGAGGACTGGAAGCATAGCAGCTGCGAGTGGGAGGCAGGGGAAAGAATTGGAATTGGGACTTCATTATATAAGTACCTGTGTTTTTCATGATTCCATTGCTTTCAGTAAGCCAGAGGTAACTTAGAGATTTAAAATTCAAGCGATTTTCATTTGAAATGTGTATAAGTTAAGGCTCAGTGTCGATCGAGCAGTATAAAATTAGTAGTTCTTTGAGACCTGGTGTGCTTCACAGGGTTTCAAGCTGTATTTTCTGTGTATGTGTTTCCTTATGGTCTATAGTGATGTATATTACTTTTATAATCAATCAAGAATAGCACTAACCCCCCAAATCTATAATCAGTCACTTTGGAGAGGGTTGGAAGGAGGTGTGTGTGTGTGTGTGTGTGTGTGTGTGTGTGTGTGTGTGTGTGATCTGAAAGGTGTGGTTCCTCTCATATTGAGAACACAAACACAGTCTTTCAGACCATCTGGTCCACACCAGCCTGGAGGCAGCCTGCAGCCGTGGGCTGTGGGAGTTCTGACAGAGTATGGAGGATGAGAGTGTGTGAATGAGAATGTGTAATGATCCATGTGGGAGATGTGAAAATATGGGAATGTGAAGCTTGTGTGTGTGTGTGTGTGTTTCATTTTTTATAATTTTATTTATTGAATCACCGTGAGAGCAGTTACAAAGCTTTCGGGTCTAAGTCTCGGTTGTACAATGAAACACCCGTGCCTTCACCAGTGCCCATGCTCCACCACCAAAAACCCCAGTATACCCCCATCCCACACCCTCCCCTACCTGTGGGGCAGATGAATTCCACATTACTCTCTCTCTACTTTGAGCACACTCAGTATTTCGATACCAGACCCACCATTATTATTTGAGATTTTACTCCAACACTCAGATCTGCTGAGAAGGCAACAGTAGAAAATTTGTGTTCTATTGCTGGTTATGAACAACATATGATGTCACGTTGGCTCAGTAGGGCCATGGGATTTTGAAATTCCGAAATTTTAACACTTAAATCTTGAGGGATTTCTGCCAAAAGCCACTGGGTTTCGAGATTTGCTCCTGAGTCTCTGGGATCATGGCCGTTGAGCAGCTTGATCAGGAGCCAGAGAGGCCATTTGTAGGCGATGACTTGGGGTCTCATTGGGATGGAGAGGCCAGAACCGGCTCCACCCCCATCCCATGAGGCCCAACAAGTTTCGTCACTGCGGGCCCAAGCCTGACTGTCCAATGGCCTCTGGAGGATGATGGCCACTGAGCCGCCAAGGGGGAGTAGGCAGAGGGACAACACCCTTTCCCCCCAGGGGTGGCCCAGCGACAGTAACCTACTGCAGGGTTCAGACACATTTCTGCCAAAAGCCGCTGGGTTTTGAGATTTGTTTCTGAGTCTCTGGGATCATGGCCGTTAAGCAGCTTGATCAGGAGCCAGAGAGGCCATTTGTGGATGATGACTTGGGGTCTCATTGGGGTGCGGAGGGCAGGCCTGGCTCCACCCCATCCTGTGAGGGCCAAAATGTCTCGTCACTGCGGGCCCAAACCTGACTGTGCAGTGGCCTCTGGAGGATGGTGGCCACTGGGCCGCCGGGGGGAACAGGCCAAGGCACGAAACCTATTCCCACCTGGGTTGGCCCAGCACCGGTAACCTACTGCAGGGACCAAACACATTTCTGCCAAAAGCTGCTGGGTTTCAAGATTTGTTTCTGAGTCTCTGGGATCATGGCCATTAAGCAGTTCAATCAGGAACCAGAGAGGCCATGCCTCCAATTATACAGCTGAGCCAGAAGTGGTTTGTGGGTGTGTTTCCCACATACCTAACTTTTGGCCGTTTACTTTGGTAAACTTTGCCCCAAGGTTTTGGGGTCTGGCCAAAGGCACAGCAGCAATTTTGGGGTATCTGGAAGTCTGAAGGTGCTATCAGACTGCTAATGCACTCGCCTCACAGGTACAGATTGACCTGCTGGCGGCACCATACACCCTGAAGCTTGTGTGTTTTGATGAACTTTCTAAAGTTTTCAATCTGCAAGTACTGATAATTTAACTTTATTACTGATTTGAATCTTTAATATCTTTTTCTTGTCAGATTGCTGTGGCAAGGAATTCCAAAACCCTATTGAATAAGAATGTGTCTGATTTCAGGGGAAAGACTTTCACTACTGAGTATGATTTTGAGTGAGGGTTGTTGTAGGTAGCCATTACTGCCTTGAAATATTTTCATTCTGTCCTTTTTAAGGGCTTTTATCATGAATGATTGATAGATCTTATAAAGTACATTCTCTGTTAATTGATGGAACTGTGTGAATTTTATCTTTCACTTTGTTGCTATGCTGTATTACACTGATTGATTTGTGTGTATTGAATCATTCCTGCCTTCCTGGGATGAATCGTACTTGATTACAGTGTATAATATTTTTGATATATGGTTGAATAAGTTTGCTAAGATTTTGTTGAGGATATTTATATCAGTGTTCATCAGGGATATTGTTCATTTAGTCGATGATTTTCTTGTTTAGTAATGCCTCTTCTTTTAGTATTAGAGTAATTCTGACTTCAATAAAACTCTTTGAAAAAATTTCTATTTCTTCAATATGGAACAGTCAGTCTAAGGTTAGCCACTGTGTTGATTATCAAGCCCATCATGAAATGCTTTGCCATTCCAGTCTTCACTGTTGTATTTATAGTATTTATTTATAGCTTAGATCTGAACTGTAGGGGAGTTCCTAGTAGGTCAGTCTTTCAAAATATGTTCTTCAGAAAAATACTGTTATTGCAGCAATTGCTATTAGTTTCTCAAGCTGTGCGTCGTGCTGTTCCCTTGGAAGAGGTTGAATTCTGACCATTTCCCTCCCTCTCCTTCCAGCACAAATCTCACTTTGCTGGGAGAGTGGTAATGCTGGGCGCTGTAGCAAGAGTGAATCTTGTGGCATTTCCTGCAACATGTGGTGCAGGAAAATCTGACTATTTAGACTTATGATTCAGCTTGAGATTCAGCTCTAACACAGGGGCCTCTGCAGCCTGGAGCCCCAAATGGCACATGCCTAAGATGCATGCAGCTCTGCCTCTGCGGGCACGGGACACTGTCTTCCCGGTCTGTGGCTTCCATCCTGATGCTTTGCCCTACCCAAACTTAGTCCCACTTGGCGTAGGTTGCTTGCAGGAGCTGGGCCTCCCACGGAGTCCTGTGATCCAGAGAATTCCCAAGGGCTTCATGTTTGACTGCAGTAGCTTCCATGTGAGTCTCCCTAAGCTACTGGCATCCATTTGTTATGAAACAGTTATTGTCAGTAAGTTTTTTAATTCTCTCATTTTTTGGTGGAGGGATTTTTGGCCACATCTGGTGGTGCTCAGCAGTTACTCTTGACTCTTCTCTCAGGGGTCACCACTACTGTGGGTTTAGGGGACCATGTGGGGTGCTGGGGATCCAGCCCAGGTTGGCCACGAACAGGGCAAGCACCCTACCTACTGTACTATTGCTCTCGTCCTTCAGTCAGGTTTGAGTGAAAGATCTCTGCACTTCACTGTATGGAAAGGACCTTCAGCCCCCAAATCTTTTTCTTAATAGGCTACTCGAGTGATGAGGCCCTGGGAGGAACGTACCGGAAGTGGAGCCTTGGACAGTATGACAACAGTGCTGGGGAGCAGCCTGCCTTCTCCAAGTACGGGTGGGGGAAGACCACCAGTGTGGACCAAGCTCCCAGCCTGGCATCTTTCCTTTCTCCAGCAGACACCAAAGAGGTACATGCCAACCTGTGTCCATCCAAAATTGTATGTCCTTTCCCACCTGTCCTTTTGGGATACCTGGGTGGGACGGAGGGAGATGACAGGAGTGTGGATGTGAGATGTGAGTCCTTGACGAGGTCATAGACGTCAGCCTAAAATCCCTGTCTCCTGTTTTGGAAAACAATATAGGCATTCCTTAAAAAACTAGAAATTGAGCTTCCATATGACCCAGCAATACCACTTCTGGGAATATATCCCAACGGTGTAAAAAAACACATTAGAAATGACATATGCACCTGTATGTTCATTGCAGCACTGTTCACAATATCCAGAGTGCTCAAGAACAGACAGCTGGTTAAAGAAACTTTGGTGTATCTACACAATGGAATACTATGGAGCTGTTAGATGAAGTTATGAAATTTTCTTATAAGTGGATGATCATAGAGAGTATCATGCTAAGTGAAATGAGTCAAAAAGAAAGGGACAGACATAGAATGACTGCACTCATTTGTGGAATATAAAATATTATGAGATAATATGATATGAGACTTACACTCAAGAACAGTAGAGACAGGGCTAGGAAGATTGCTCCATCCTTGGAAGCCTGTCTTAGGAGCTGGGGGAGAAGGCAGCTGGGATAGAGAAGGGATCACTAAGTCAGTGATGGTTATGGGGATAACTCGAGATGGGATATGTGTGCTGAAAGTAGGTAAAGGACCAAACATGATGGCCCCTCATTATCTGTATTATAAACCATAATGCCCGTAAGTAGAGAGAGTAAGAGGGAAACTGCCTGCCAGGAAGGCAGGGGGAGGGGTGGGAAGGGTGTGGTAGGGATACTGGGGACATTGGTGGTGGAAAATGTACACTGGTAGACGGATGTGTATTCAATCATTGCATGATTGAAACTTAAACATGAAAGCTTTGTAAGTATAGGTCATGGTGATTTAATAAAAATAAAGAAAAAATCACAGTCTCACTGATCTCAAGACGGCAAAGTTGGAATTCAAGAGACAAGAAGAGAAAAATCACTTGAATTCGGTCTTACTAACACACAGAAAGCCAGTGTTCACAGTGTGACAAAATGGATTAAAAAACTGAATCTGACATTCATGGCACATAAAAAAAAGTATGCAGCTAATAGGCATGGACAGTAGAAACAAGGTCCTGTAGGACTGGTCCATGGATGGAAGCTTGCCACGAGTAGAAGGGTGGGGGCAGGGCAGTTAGGGTAGAGAAGCCGCCACTGTGATGGTGATGTTTGGAAATGATCATGCTAGACAAGATCTGAGTGTTGAGAGTAGGCAAAGGGACATACATGAGAACCTGTCAGTATCTATGGTGCAAATCAAAATGCCCAGAAGGAAAGAGAGAAAGAGAGAAAGAAGAACAGTGCCTGCCACGGAGGCCGGCTGGGGGTGGGGAGTGATGGGTTGGTGGGAGGGAAACTGCGGACATTGGTGGTGGGAAATGTGCACTGGCGGAGGGATGGGTATTGGAACGTTGTATTATGACTGAAACCCAATCATGAACAGTTTTATGACTGTATCTCACAGTGATTCGGTTAAGAAAAAGAAAATAAAACTCAGAAAATATAAAAAATGTAAAACTGCAAGGAAAGAACAATAAAGCCAGTGTTCATATTTGAGATCCATCTGTCAACCTTAGGCCTCCCTGTGTGTCTGCTTTGTGTCTGTGTTTTTACATATTTGTAAAGATGTAACCAGTAAGGATGATTTCCTGCTAGCTTGTCCACCTCATACTCTAGTGCTCACTTTTCCCATCCAGTCCAGGCTCTGTCAGAGCCACTCACAGCTGTGGGAGGTGAGGAGAGAGCTGAGTACAGAGGCCTCCTGCTTCCTTTATCCTCCATGACTCAGCATTTGTGGGACTGGGGCCGGGATCCTTGTCTTAGGTACGGCACTAAGCCTCTTGGTCCCCACTCAGTAGGATGCTCTCTTCAGGGTCCACTTTCTGGGGGTGGCCTCTGCTGACTCCCTTATGCCAATTTCAGACGGCCATCTCCACGTACCCCTCGGACCTCGATGTCATCGATGGCAGGATTTTTTCTTCCACCAAAAGCAGCAGTGAGTCCATATCATCCATACCAGCATTTCCTGTGTCTCCAGGGACACCGTATGGTAAGAAAACAGAAAACTGTCCCCTGTGCACCTTTTTTCCTTCTGTGAGTGGACTTGCAGTAGATTGTGACTTTGTCTTCTCTTCCAGTGACAACACCCCCACAGTATTCCCCGTTCAACCCACCTGGGTCACAGATGGGCGGCACCAGTGGTTTGTACAAAGGAGATCATGGTAAGAAACCTACCCACATCCTGCTGCTCCACTCTGCATGGCACCATTTGTACCAGCATCTTTCCAAGCTGAAAGGTTTTCAGGTGCAGAATATTGATGCAAAATACTTAAGTAACCTCAGAAATGGTGACTCCCTGGCGGGAACGTGTGAAGATGGGTATGCAGCTGCACCCGGCTCTGGCAACATGGAGCTGCCTACATGCTGAGCATCTCTTCATCTCTGCTGAGACAGCGTCAGGACAAGGGGCAAGGGTGCTCTTGCTAGCTGAGCAGTGCTGAGAGTCGGAAGCAGCAGCCCTGTGAGTGCTAGGGCAGTGCCGAGAGGGAATCAGGTGGAATCAATTTCCTGCTCTGTGCTGCGTGGATAACCCCTTGCCCACACAGCGTATCTGTCCTGGTTCCTTCCTTCCTCTACATGTTGGATCTCCTGGTACATCAGGAGCCTTTTTTTTCTGCTGAGGGGCCCCATGCATATTTACAACATTCATGGGCCATCCAGACTTACATTAACTTAAAAATTAGTCTGGAGTATATATTCTCAGGAGTGGAATTGCTGGGTCATATGAAAGCTCAGCTCCTAGCTCATGGAGGAATGCCCAGATTGCTTTACAGAATAGGAGGGGCCCGTCTGCATTCCCAGCAGTGAGTTACACACATCCACACCAGCACTGATGGTTTTTATTCATCTTGATGTATGCCAGTCCTGTGGGGTGAGATGGCCACTCACCCTGATGGTCAGTGATCACCAGACATTGGTGTCTGTGTACTGTTGACAGGAGAGACTTACTCGGAGAATCGTGTGGGTCGCTGAACCTTGTTCTGGGTCCAGGCCTTCGTGGCCTGGCTTTGGGCAGAGGGCGTGGGGATATAATTAAGGTCTTATGTACATTTATTTATTTATTTAAAATGTAGGAGTATTTTATTCAGCCATTGATTAGGCTGATTGAATTGGGCGTGAACTCTGCTCTTATGCACATTTAAAAGCATTTCCTCTGCAGCTGTTTCTCTGCCCTGGCAGAGGGAAGTGAGATTTCAGGGAGACATCAGCCTTCTCAGGATGGAGCTTTGGCTGTGTGGCACTTAACGCAAGAAAGCCGGTTGGACTGGTACCTTCCACCTCTTTCCAGGGGGGGTAGATCTCAGAGAAGGAGACTTACAGACACACAAAAAGAAGCAAATGGAGACACAAGCACTGTCCACACTTTAGTCTCCTGGCAGCCACCAGTGGTCCCACAGACTCCTCACTGGCTCCGGCAGCTGAGCCATCATTTAAACTAACAGCCCGTAAGGATGGCACCTCATGGCACACGTTTGATTGCCTCATTGTCTACTCTAAGATCTGAACTGTTTTGCGCAGGGGACTATCCTGATCTCGGTTTTTTTGTTAAGGCCAGCATTTTCCACAGACTTGGAATTGTATGTCTGTCTCTAATTCAGCGGTGACTAGCATTTAAGTGCTTGCTTCATTTTCCCTCTTAATCCAGAGAAAGCTAGCCATTTATCACTTAATAGATTGGCTATTTTTTTCTTCCAAGCTCCCTTTTTTGGTGTTAGGAACATAAATGTCTTTGCCTATACACAGAACAATGATAAACTGTTCACCTTACCTAGCAGATATTCTTGAAATGTATGATCAGAAAGATGTAGTGTTGTTGTGATTCTGTTTGCATATGTGAGCATTGTGTTACATGTTCTGTTTAATATACCCATTTTTATGATTTGTGAAGAAATTTTTATGATTTCTTCATGGGAAGAGTGTCTGTTCTAGTAATAATGTATTAGTGCCCTGATCCAATGTCTATTCTTCCACATTTTATGTATGGCATATGTTTGTATATGTATGTATTCATTCCCCTTTTGGTTATTGCAGTGACCAAGGATTGCACTGGCTCTAGTATGCCTCAGGGGTTGCAGATTTTGTTTGATCCCAGGGGTCCCTCTGGTCTTCTAGGATTATGCTTGGTCTGTGTGGAGGGTACAGGGATTGCCCTGGTGGTCTCCATCTCAGAGCTGTCCCCTAGCCTGACTCCTGCACATCCTAGTGATTTTGATGGAGGCAGACAAAGGGCCAGAGACTCCGGCCCAAAACCCTTCCTTCTCCTTGAATCAGCCGCAAATGATGTGGATTTGGACCAGCTTCTGATGTGGAATCCAATCAGACCTCAGAACACCTAAACTAGCACTGTAGCATTGTCCTCCTGTTGTTCATCGATTTGCTCGAGCGGGCCCAGTAACGTTTCCATTGTGAGAGTTTGTTGTTACTGTGTTTGGCAATATGAATATGCAGGCAAGATACTCTCAGTAGCTTGCCGGGCAGAGAGGGGCAGAAGAATCAAACTCGGGTCGGTCAGGTCGGCCGCATGCAAGACAAACGCCCTACCCGCTGTGCTGTCGCTCCTTGGAAATAAACTGGTAGTTGAGGGAGATCTAGAAATTACAATTAGAATTAGCCTAGAAAAAATTTCATAAACCTCCAAGCAGAAAATTTCCTCAGACTTATTAGCAGCTCCGGCTGAGGCCTTCAGGGACACTGAGGGAGACTGAGAGGTCCTGACCCTGCTAACCCTTGAGGGGAGAGTGCTCAATGGGTGCCAACAGTCAGTACTAGGCCACCCTGCACTAGTGGAGTTGGAAATAGGGATCAGCCACATCCATCTCTCTGGCCCTAGGTCTTTTGCTCTTTTCAAAATCCTCTAAACTGGGGGCTGGAGTGGTAGTACAGCGGGTAGGGCATTTGCCTTGCATACGGCCAACCGGGGTTCGATTCCCAGCATTCCATATGGTCCCCCAAATCACCAGGAGCAATTCCTGAGTGCAAAGCCAGGAGTAACCCCTGAGCATCGCTGGGTGTGCCCCCAAAACAAAATTATCTAAACTGCCAGTGTCATAATATTAGTCCCCAAAGTCTTACCTGCTCATGATTTGTCCATCCATGGAGTAAATGTTTGTGTAAGCACCACTCTGGCCTATCTCTGCCTCATTTATGAATATAGGCTGTAAAACCTATTCATGACTGTTGCTTCACGGCAGTGCCTGCTAGGTAGCAAAGGGAAGTCCTACTTCTCTGTTATTTAGAGCTGGATACTCACCTTCATATAAATGATAATGTTGGCTCCGAATTACCCCTGGAATAGTGGCTTTGTTATCCTGAAAGATGGAGTAGGAACAGTTTCCAAACTCTTTCATCTCCATATAAATTAAATCCCTGCACTGTGTTTATAAATCTGATACCTAAAAATGGAGTTAAGAAAGGCAGACTTACCCTGACCTCAGGGCCCTTGAACTTGAGACCATATCTTAGACCATAAAAAAAAAAGGTTAAAAAAAAGACTTTTTTTTAAAAAATGCAGTATGTAGAATGTCCTTCAACCATAATGAAATCAAACAAGAAACCAGTAAGAGAAAGATGACCAAAAAGTTTTAAAATACCTGAGAACTGAATAACACCTTTATAAATGAACCAGGGACATCTTTACATCTTAAAGGCAGTAAAAGAACATAGTGAACTGAATAAAATAAAAAAGAAACATGAACATTTTTGGAGGAGAGCTAAAAGTGGTGCGAAGAAAACTTACAACGGAAATATGTATCTTTGTAAAGAAAAATCTTGAAATGAATAATTTAATCTTGCCCCCAGAACACAGAAGAAAAGAGCAAGCTTAATTTGAGGTAAATATAAGAAAGGAAATACTAAAAGTCAGTAGAAATCACTGAAACAGAATAGAGAAGATAAATGCAAGAAAGCTGTTTGAAAAGCTTGCTCCAGTTGACAAACCTAGTATGACTGACCAAAGAAAAGGAAAGACACAGGTTACTAATATTGGGAATGGAACAAGATGCCATTATGACCCACAGAACCAGGACACAGAGGCAGTACACCACAGCCTGTCTACATGAAGACACCACAGGAGCAGCTGGTTAGGAAAGAAGGCTTCTGTGGGTATGAACACAACCCAATTGTCTGGGGTGGATTAGAAAGGGTGTTTAACTGGAAAGCACACTTTCAAGAGGAGTAGGGTTTTATGTCCAGCAGAGTGAGGGTGATGAATAGTTTATCCTGTTCGAGTACTGTTTCAGGAAATTCATGCATATGCATGAGCAAGAATACTGAGTGTGCACGACTAAGAAGCAGATAGTGGGTATATACTGCATCAACAAAAATACCCAAACAAGAAGCAATCAAGATTTTGTTTCCTAATGTAGTACTGAAGAGGAAGGTGGTCAGTCCTGTCTGACCAGAGGTTTGGGCTCCTTATCAAAACAAAATAGGTTGCTAAGATTAATATTCTTGCACATCCAACCCCACTTTGATCCCTACACCTCCTGGCCCCTTGAGCGTCTCCAGGAGTAGCCTGGAGAGTCTCAGAAGCATTGCTTTCTAGCCGGGAGGTCTCTGGCACTGCCAGGGCTGCTCTCCCTGGTGATCTCTGGCACCATTGCATCTTCATGCCTCTCAATGGTTTGCCCCCCGCCCTCTGAATATTGCTGGGGAGATCTGGCTAAAAAATGAATCTCAGATGATGGCCAAATGGAATTTATCCCAGAAATGCACCACTAGTTCAATATTTGAAATTCCTCAGTGTAGTCCTCCATATTGGCGGGTAGATACAAAACATTTTTATACTGGCAAATTTATATTTGTTCATGCCTACAAAATCCTAGCAAAACAGAAACGGGAAAATTACTCTTGCCCTTTTGGTGTATCACAGAAACCTGACTGATAATCCTACTTCTCCCTAGTTCTTAGGGGTGCACCAAAGGGGTGAGTAATAAAAGACAGAGATTGGAAAGAAAGAAGTACAGGTGTCTCTTTTTTGTAGGTGGCAAAAAATACCCATGTGGAAAATTCCAAGGAATCCATAAAAGGAAATAAAAAAATCTCACAGAACAAATTTAGCAAGATTGTAGGCTATAAGATAAGCACATAAATCAGTTGTATTTCTGTAGACTAGCAAAGAACATGCTAGCCTAAATTAAAATCTAGTAATTATACTAGGTCA